CAGGCCATTCTGATGAAGGCATTTTTTGTAATTGAGGGTTCCTCTTAGCAGATGACACTAGCTTGTGTAAAGTTGGTAAAAACAAGCAGAGGAACTAGCCTTTTAGACTTAGTCACTGCTGTGTACTCCATGTACCCTGTTCCTCGTGGTTCCATAGCTCTCATGGCTCCCTGCCTGTTGTCGTCCATTTACTTAGCTCCTTTGACTCCTGCATTGCCCTGGTCCATAATGTCTCCGTCCACCAGACCCGACTTATTTGATACTTCTGTGAGACGCTTTCTCCCCACTGGTGCCCTAAATAAAACACTAACAGAACAGGGCCTTGCTGTGTGGCCCAGAGTGACTTCAAACTTGTCACCTGCCTGCTGACTCCTGAATGCTAGGTTAGGTGTCTGCTGCCTTGTCTGGTGCATGTCTTCCCTGCTCTCCTTCCCAAACCGTAAGGCTCTGTGCGACTTTGTTAGGTGAGAACGCTTTTCCGTGCTCAGTATGTTTGTGCTGACCTTGTGTGCAGACTTCCTTCATCCCACTTGGAAGGATTTGGTGCAGTGAGTGGGGAGCGGGGAGTCCTGTGAGTGAGTGAGTGAGTGCTTTTGGAGCTGGTGTGCTTGTCTTAAGTTATGGCTATGCCAGCTTTGCAGTGTTGGCAGGTTTTCTCACCTGTAGGACTCTTGGTTTCAGAAGAGTGCTCTGGCTTTTGTCTGTCTTGGTTTTTGAGAAGTACTGTACTTTAGAGACAGTGAGATCATAGCACGTCACGTGGTGCTTGACATATGGAGGACAGTCCTTAGATACTTGTTGAGTCACAGTTTTGGATAAGGGCGTTTTTATTTTTTAATTCAAGCTAGAATAAACTTCTTTTTGGTTTTTCGAGACAGGTCTTCTCTGTATTATGTATTGTTTTGTAGGCTGTCCTCTGTAGACCAGGCTGACCTCGAACTCACAGAGCTCTGCCTGTCTCTGCCTCCTGAGTGCTGGGATTAAAGGCGTGCACCACTGACACCCGGCTAGAATAAACTTGTTGGTTTCTGTCATGAAGCCAGGAGCCTTTTTGAGTAGGTAGTGAAATGGAGAGTGTCATCTTTCTTAGGATGAAGCAATGAGAAGGGGAGTGCCATCAAAGAACAGCCCGTGAAAACTATCTCTTGTCTCTTGGCTGCAGAGACTCTTGATGGGCCACGTCGTGCCTGCTGCCTCCCCAGTCCTGGGGTGCTTGGTAGTGACCTCCCTAGTGTATGACCAGTGGATGGTGGATTGTAATCACGGGAGAGAAGGTTGTATACAGCAAATGACTGGCTGGAGTGTGTCTTAGTTTTACTATGCTGTCATGAAACACCATGACCGAAGCAACTTGGGGAGGAAAGGGTTTATTTGGCTTATCTTCTGCATCACTGTTCATCATCAAAGGAAGTCAGGACAGGGACTCAAACAGGGCAGGAACCTGGCTGGAGGCAGGAGCTGAGGCAGGGGCCACTAAGGAGTGCCACTCACTGGCTTGCTCCCCATGACTCGCTCAGCCTACTTTCTTACTGAACCCAGGATAACTAGCCCAGGGGTGGGACCGCCCACAATAGCCTTGGCTCTCCTCCATAAATCACTAGTTAAGAAAATGCCCTGCAGGCTTGCCTACAGCTTAGTCTTATATAGGCATTTTCTTAATTGAAGTTCCTTCCTCTCTGATGATTCTAGACTGTCAAGTTGACAAACCAGTCAGCCCAGAGTGCTTTGGGACCCATGTTCCCAAGTGTCTTAGGGACTGAAAAATGTGGTTTTAGGCCTTTGGTTTTGTGCCATGGGCTTGTCCCTGATGCTCTTCCAAAACAGGCTGGTGGTTGACTCACCATGTATTCTTTTGTTTTCCTTTATTTATAGTTGATGGAAATTGTCTTTAAGGTACCAGTTCTCAATAAATACCAAAGGAATTTTTTCTAGAAGTTAGGTTCTCTTCAACTGTACAGAGTATGAGGAAGAGCTCCCTGTTCTCTGAAGAGCAATTTTGTCTGGTTACACATCTCTGCCTGTCACAGAGTCACTGTTAACCTGTCTCCCTCTGCTAGAGGGGAGAGCTGAGGATTTTCTTCCGATTACTTAGGAGCAAGGTCCTTAGCCGAATACAGGCACATTAAGTCCTGTGAGAAAGTGCTTAGCAACCCATCCTTCCTGAGCAGTTAAAGCAGATGAGATCTCTCAAGTAAGACCTTTCCAGCTCTTAGGACTTTTTTCTTTTCAGATAAAGTCTCTGCAGCCCAGCCTAGATGGAATCTCACTATTTTATGAGACAGGTTTGACTCAGCCTAGCCTCCAACTTTGGATCCTCCTTCCTCAGCCTCTGTACTGGAATTTTGGGCATCCACTGTTATTCCCAGGGTTTTACTCTTTTTTTGTTTGTTTGTTTGTTTGTTTGAGACAGGCTTTTTCTGTCTTGGAACTCATTATGTAGACCTGGCTGGCCTTGAACTTTCAGAGATTGGACTGCATCTACCTCCTGAGTGCTGGGTTTAAGGCATGTGCTACCACAGCATACCTGCTGTTCTTCCTTTGGAAAACAAAGCAGACCTAGCTATTGTCATGGAGTTCTAGTAGCTGAGGGCTCTGAAGGCTGCCTGTCAGTGGCCAGGCTTTCTTCCTCACCTAGGAAAAAGGTCAGGGCCTTTAGGAAGAGTTAGCAGTTGTCTGGGTTAGTGGTTCTCAACCCGTGAGTCCAGACCCCTTTGGGGATCAAACCACCCTTTCACAAGTGTCACCTAAGGCCATTAGAAAACACAGAAGTTTACATTACCACTCAACAGTAGCAAAACTACAGTTATGAAGTAGCAACAACAATAATTTTATAGGTGGAGGTCACCTCAGCTTGAGGAACTATATTAAAGGGTCACTGCATCAGAAAGGCTAAGAACCACTGTTGTAGACTGCTGTCTTTTCTCTGGTTGGGTGCTGAATTTTTTAAGCTTGGGGGCAGTGCACAGAGCAATATGGGGATCTCAGTGAGTGGGCAGTTTGGGAACCCGTTGGCACTTGGTGTTTTGTGGTGCCATACTGGGGGATAAATTCAGGGTCTTGCATGTACTGAGTAAGTGCTCTACTACTGAGCCATATCCTCAAAACACACACACACACACACACACACACACACACACACACACACACACACACACAGCTGGACTGGCTGCCAGGCCCTCGTGTGGGGGCGGCATGGTGGTGGTGCTTCCCATTTTGCTCACCACCGTCCCACTGCCTGCAGGGCTTCTCAAGCTTGGGAAGGTGTTTGGGTGCATCTTCCTAGCTTTCTGTACTGGGAGGTGGAAGAGCCTTTTCCAGGCTGGGGAGCCTGACTGCTTTCAGCCTCATTTTCCGGGGTCCTCTGGAGCTCCCTGGGAAGCCATCTGTCTGGCCGTGTAGAAACTGTGAGGTGGCAGTGTGCCGCCACTCCCTGACTGGCCCAGCTCTGGGCTAGGTTGCACACTGCTCCATTGTACTGTGTTCTGATGCAGTTCTTGTCACAGCTTTGACCCTAGCTGGTCTCTTACAGCTCTTTCCCTCAGCTTGTAGGTGACAGAATACACTGTGTTGGCATAGGCTTGGATGGATGGTAGCTGCAGCTGTGGGAGGGTTTGTTCTTACAAGCCAGTGTTCAGAGCCCTGGTGCAGCCTGGCAGCAGTGTTTGGGACTAGGGAGACAGGGAGCTGCCTCCCACAATAGCTGCCTTCTCTTGCCAACCAGAGAGCCTTGTTGTGTGGGTCAATAAGCTAGACTCACTGTTGGCAAGGTCTTCCTCAGGAGTGCTTTCTGGTGCTGGGAAGCCCCTGAGAGTCCCACAGTAAGTTGGAGGTACTTTCCCGGCATGAGTACAGTGTGTGCCTGAGGGGTCCCGCAGCTTGTCTTCTGTGCTCTCTCTTTGCAGCTCCTGAGTTGGGCAGCTCACACACCCAGCTGTCTGTTTATATGGAGTGCCTGGAGGGCGTCTGCCATGAGTCTGTTGCTAACACCACTAACCAGGAGAGCTGGCTGGCTGGGGAGAAGACACTAACCTTGTGAGTTTAACCTTGACTAGCTAACCTGCCCTGAGGTACCACTAGCAGCGTGCATTCTGCATTCTCTGCCAGGCTGGCTGCCTCTCCCTCAGTCTTGCTCTCTGGGTCCCTGCCTTTCCTCTTTTCCACGATGTGGGCAGGATAAACCTCCTTCCTCTCAGCTCCTTTTCTGTTGCTGTGTTAAACGCTATGGTCAAGGCAACTTAGAAAAGAAAGCGTATAACATGACTTACTGTTTCCCAGGGTTAGACTCTCTGGTGACAGTGAAAACAGCTAAGAGCTCCTATCTTAATCCACAACCTTGAGATAGAGACAGACAAAAACAGACTAAACACAAGGACAGACACTAGGAATGGCGGGAGTCATTTGAAACCACAAAGCCAACCCTAGTGGACAAGGCCACACCACCTAACCCTTCACAAACCATTTTACCAACTGGGGACTAAGTAGTTGTAGACAGAGGCGGAACAGAAACTCCGTCTACAAGTATTCAAATGTATGAGACTAAGAGGCCAGTCTCGTTCGGCCACCACACCCTTCATGGCCAGAAGAGATGTGGCCTGCTACAGGACTCCTCTCCTCTCCCCCTCTTCCATGATGGACACCTCAGTCTCCCACTAAACAAATTGATTAGTGTTCCTATTCTTTTCTGTGTTTTCAGCAACAAGGAGCTGAAGACTCACCCTCAGTTACCATGCTGTTCCCGTTTCTCTGCCTCAGAGACAGGTGGAGGCAGGATAGGAATAGATATACCTTCTTTCTGGACCCTAAGTAGTTTTCCTGCCTTTGTCAAGAGGGTGAATGTGGATGGTTCCACCATTAGTCTCACTCAGAATAGGAAGTTAGGTTATCTTTTTTTTTTTTTTTTTTTTTTTTTTTGGAGACAGGGTTTCACTGTGTAGCCCTGGCTGTCCTGGAACTCACTCTGTAGACAAGGCTGACCTCAAACTCACAGAGATCCACCTGCTCTGCCTCCTGAGTGCTGGGATTAAAGGCATGCGCCACCACCACCTGTCTAGGTTTGCCTCTTGGTTGGGAGATTGAGGCTTACCTTGGCCTAGCTCTGGAGACTTGTTGGTCAGAGAGAGGAGTAAACTGAATGCCAGATTCAGGGATCTGTGTGATGATGTAGTTCCCACTGGTCACCATTGCTCTGGGAGGTGGAGTTTGGTCTCTTACCCATTTCCACTAAGAGTGTCGAGTGGACTTTAGCCGAGAACAGGGAGGGTGCCTCAGCAAGACAGGGCAGGACCTGACTTTGGATTCCTTAGACCCAGGAACGGCTCTGACCTTTCCCGGGAGATTGGTTCGTGTTGCCTGGCATGGAGAAGCTGCTACCCTAGGCCCTTTCTTCCATACTTGCAACTGAGAAGGGATGCTGACAATGCCAAGAAGATGAGTTGCCTTGCTCTCTCTGGTGGCCCTACAGGTAGCTCTTTACATAAAGTGTGTCTCCAGGCTCTGAAGGGGAGGCAGACCTGGAGACTTACAAGCCCTCCAGGCATTTTCTGTCCCTGTTGGCTGGGAGGGAGAAGGAGGGCATGTGAGTGAATGTGAGGGCTTAGGTTTCCAGGCTCCCTAAGCATTTACAGGGAGGTAGCAAGCTGAAGGGGTTTGAGCTTGGCCAGGCCACTCCTCACTTTTCTCTTTGGGAGAGGCCTTAGAGCAGTGTCAGGTCACGCGCAGGCCATGGATTTGGCACTTTGGGCACTCCTTTTGTTGGGGAGGGTTGGTTTGCTTGGGTCGACATCAGTAGTCTTTTTCCCCTTTGTAACTCTCAAGCGATTGCTGGGTGAGAGACCAGGTGGATAGACAAGGTGTTGCTTCAGGTGGGGAACCAGGTGAGCTCTCACAGGTCACAGTTCTGGTTCTGAGGTTCTGACTACTGTGGTTAGAATGATTCTGTCCCTTGTGGGCCTTCAGAATCCTGTCAGTGTCCTCAGCTGAGTGTAGGCAGGGGGCCAGGTGAAAGCTACAGGCAGCTTATCCCAGGAGGGTGAGGCTGTACTTGCCCAGAGGCATGTCTAGCTAGTGGAGGGGCGGCAGGGCTGGTCTGGGCACAGATGGCATCTTCTACCCTAGTAGTCAGCTCAGAGCACCATCTTTGCCTAGGCCCCACCCTGTGAGCTGCTGGCTGCCTGCCTGCCTGCCACGCGCCCAGGATTGCTGAAGGCTTTGCTCATGTACCTCAGAAACAGCTGCGTGCCGGAAACTGGGGGCTGAGGCAGATGAAAGGGGGGGGGGGGTGCAGTGAATAAGCCTTGTGCTGAGGACTGCTCCCTTTACAGCAGGCAGAGTAGAGAGAGGGTCTTCATGGGCAGTTCTCAGGGCTGCATTGAGGGCCATCGGCCATAGAGTTGTTTGGGGCTTTCCATGGAGGCAGAACTGTCTAGGTTTGTGCGGCAAGCGTGTTGCCTGCCCTGTGATGTGCAGCTTCCCAGGTTGAAGGGGTCAGAAACTCGATATCCAAGGCATGTGGGGCAGGAAAGTTAAGGCGATACTTTGTTTCCTGTGTCATCAGGATGCTGTGATTGGGCTGGTGTTTGTTTTATTACCTATTTATAGCCTGCTAGGTTCCCAGGGAATTAAGGCCATACACATAGCTCAGCTGTCTCCTGAGTAGGGCTGGCTTTTTCTTTCATTTAGAAAGCCGTAGTGATTACTTGATTACTAACTTCTCTTGGAAGCATTATGAAGAAAAACTTTAATGATTCCTGTATGTGGGCCCCACCCTGATTCAAAAGGGCGGGTTCACTGACCCTTCAAGGTCCCCCATTAACTTAGTTCATTTGCAGCTGTGAGCGGATTATCAGTAAATTTCAAAACAATCTGAGGCCAGATAAATGGTGTCCTTTCCTAAAAGAGGTGCTGGTGGATGGTAATGGTCTGGTTGGTAGGATGCGGATGTGGGTCAGTGAACCTCACACTGATAGTACAGAATCTGGAGGAGGCTTCTGGTGGCGGAAGTCAGACATGAGAAAAGACAGAACATCATCGTATTGGATTCAGTCCTGTTCCCTCTTCTGTACCATTGATAGGGTGGCGATGGTGACCTCTGAGTCCTTGACAGACCTCAGAATGGCAGGAGGGAATAGGAGAGCCCCAGGCTCTTGGGCTTCTCTCTGTTTGCTGTTGTCCCTGGGGACATTTGCTACAAGAAGAACAAGGATTGAGTGAGTCAGGGATCTGAAGAGGTTTCTCTTGCCCCATCTATTTTGGAGCTGTGGTCTCTAGCATCAGTGGAAGCCCCTGGCCATACCCACTCAGAAAAGGCAACAGATAGGAGTCCTGGCTACAGCGCTGACTCCAGCCGGCCTGCTCCTGGTCAGGGGCGTTGTTCCTATCTGTCTGCACTCTGCTCAGCTGCCCAGTGGGTTTGCAGTGCAGGCCCTCTGTGCTGTGCGTGCCGAGTCCCATTTCTAATGAAAGTAGACTTTGTTCTCTGGAGGCAGCTAATCGTGCCCCATGGGCTGTAATCAGGGAGAAGGTATTTAATACAGGGCAGGTGGCAACAGGCGGCCGCATTGACTGGCAGATTGCAACATGGCAATTAGCAAGCTATCACCCTCCTCCCCAGCAGATATGAGGTAGTCTGTCTTCTGAACTGACTTGGATAGTGAAGAATGAATACAGGAATGCAGGAATAGTGAAGAATTAGCTTCACTAACTCCAGAAGGTTAGCTAGGCTGGGGTGGGGGTGGTGAGGCTGAGGAGAACCCCTTCTCCTCTTGCTTCAGGGAATTTGGGTGTCTCCCACTGCAGGTCAGCAGGGTCATCCCAAGAGCCACAGCCTATGCTGGCTCAGCCACAAGCTGGAACCTCCATCCTGAGCCATGTGACCTGCCTCTTAAGGCCCAGGGGATTGGGAGTAGAGCTTTCCTGCTCATTGCTGGCCTGAGCTTCCTCCACAAGAGTCAGCTCAGCCACTAAAGGCCCCACAGGCCGACCCTTGCTGTGCTTGCTTGAGGTGGCCTACTGGACCTGCTCTTCTCAGCACAGGGTTGGAGTCTTCCTTTGGATAAAGGAGTTGTGCAAAGTGGAGGCTACAGTTGGTGAAACTGCTTTGATGTCTTCTAATTCACCATTTCATCTTCTCTCAGCTTCGGGGCCACAAAACCCCTGTTCTTCACTCTTCCCTGGTCTGTCCTCTAGTCCAGGACAGTGGGCTGCCAGGCCCATTGTCTGCCCAGTGTTGTCCCTTACAGGTTGATTCCGGGCCACTTAGTAGATTTTGGGAATTGAAACAAAGGCCCAGGTGTCCCAACATGCCCTGGTATTTATGAACATGGGGCGGGGAGTGGCACAGATCTGCCGTGGGGAGCAGGGTTGGAGAGCCCGGAAGGTTCCCTGGTGCATTGTTGAAGGGTCTGATAGAGAAGTAACCCACCTCCATCCTTAGAGTCCCTATCTGCATTTACTGTCTCTGTCCTTGTCACACCCAAGTCATCCCCAAACCAGCAAACCAGATTGCCTCAGAGAAGCCTGGAAATAAACAGGCTCATAGCTGCAGCCAGGGCTTACTGTCAGGACAAGGCAGGACAAGCTGTAGGATGAGGTGCCTCAGTGAGTGTCTCTGTCCACACTCCTGCCCACGGTTCTCATAAGTGCCCTGGCGCCTACAAGGGAGTGGGAGCCGTGGCAGGAAGTGGGGCAGGTGAGGAGGAGGCTGGGGTTGGAGGAAAAAGCACTCAAGGAGCTTGCAGAGTGGAGGGCTCCTCAGCTCTGGGGTGGGGAGGGATGGACAGGAAGGCCACAGAGAGCTGGCTTGTGTGAGGAGAAGGGAGAAGGTAGCTGCTTGCTCCTGGGAACTTTCCCATCACCAGAGCTCCGTTGCCTATCTCCCTTTTAGACCATGGCTCTGGCCCTACCCTGTTTTCTGGGCATATACACCCACACATGCACCTTTCACTGTTAGGGCCTCGGTATCTGCTCTGCTTTAGAACTTTTCTGGGCCTTTCCCTCAGGCCACAGAAGTCCCTACTCCAGGGCTTTCTGGAGGACAGCCACAGGTATAGTATCTTGTTTGTTCCCCCTCACCCCAGGAATGTGGTGTCCTTTCTGGCCCTCCCAGATTCCTGTGCAGGGAGTCAGCCTGACAGCTCGCTGCTTGTGCCCTGTGGGGACACGTTCTGCCTGCTGTCAAAGGGGCGGGGCTGGCTGCTCGTGCTTCTGCTACTACACCAAGCTTTCCTCCAAACCCAGACCAGGGACCTTACAGAGGAAGGAGACTACTGCTTCCCCACCCTCCTTTGCCCCCACCCTGATGCCCCAGGCCCTGCTGGAATGTGACAGGAGTCATGGCCAGGGCATGTCCCAACAGTAGGAACACATGCTTTAGCCCGTAAGGCCTCCTTCAGCCCCCAGCTCTGTTTGGGTTGATGGGGGTGGGAAGAGATTGTTTTTATTCTCAGAAAGCCACCTAGAGTTACTATTTCCACTGATCACTGTAGTACCTGCTGCCCCCGTGCTGCCGCCCAGCTTATTACAGGTGCTTCTCGAAATTTCCAAGAAGCTGAGGGTACCTGGCAGGTCACTTGGCTCTACCACGTGCATAGGTGTAGAGCAGGCTCTTGCAGTGGGAAAGCATGTTACCCAGGCACTACAGTGTGCCAGAGCAGCCCTGGGCTTGGAAACACGGGGCTCGGCTCCCCATACTTGGGGGTAAGTTTTTTCTATTACATTTATTTGAGTGTATGTGTGTAGGCACATGCTTGCCACAGTGCACATGTGGAGTCAGAGGACCAGCTGTGGGAGTGAGTTCTCTCCTTCCCCCATTGAGTTCCAGGGTCAAACGTGAGGCGTGAGGCTGAGCAGCAGGCACCTTTGCCTACTGAGCCATCCTGCCGGCCCACAGCTTTGTTTTCTAGACCCGCAGCTCTCAACGTCAGCACTGCTGGCCCTTTGCCTTACCCGTTCTTTGTTACAGTAGCTGCCCTGTGCACGCTAGGGTGGGTCATCCATATTCTGACCTGGATTTACCAGATTCTGAGAACTAAAAATGTCTCTAGACATTTGCCAGCTGCCCCTGAGAGAACCTGATTGACAACCATCCTCCCAATCGCTGAGCTTCGGGTTGTCTTTCTTGGGCCTACCTTGGCTCGTTGCCAGGGTTTATTGCCCACCATTGTGCATTGTGTGACCCATGCCAGTATCAGTCTGATGATCCTCTGCGTCTGCTGCATTCCCCTGACCCCCGTCCCGTGGTCTCCCTGCTTGCTGGCTCTCTGGGAGCCTTCCAAGTCGCAACTGGGCAGGCGGGCGGCTGACACCTGGTGTCACTTGCTTCCCTTCTCTGGTTTCAGGAACTCTTGGCTAGAGGAAGTGGAGGGGCCTCGGGATGTGGAGAGCCGAAAGCTAACTCCAGGACAGCAGAACAGAGAGAGCCGCCAACAGACAGACGGTATGTGGTCATGAGGCCCGTGTCCCCTACTTGGTTCTCTTCTGGGAGACTGGCAGGTGAGGCGCTGGATAGGCGCCGTCTGCTCTCCTGCAGTGGGAACTAGTAGAAAGGAGAGTGTGTTTTGGGCCAGCTGGTCTTGACCTTCGTTGGCAGTGATCACAGAGTGGGCTCAGCTTGGAGACACTCATCCAGGAGCTTGGGTTGGGTCAGTATCCTCAGACTTTCCAGGTTTGTTCACAATTTATGGAAATCAAACCTCTATTTAACATTACCTAAGTGCTGGGCACTGTTTCTGCTTTTATTGTAAACAGTCTCACTGTGTAGCCCAGGCTGGCATCAAGTTTAGGGCCTTCTTGACACTGCCTCCCCGGTACTTGGGATCACAAGTATGTATGGCTGGCTGTGTCTGGTTATTGAGGCAGGGTTCCAGTATGTAGTTCTCACTGACCTCGAAATCAGAGGTCCCCCCACCTCTGCCCCGAGTGCTTTGATCAAAAGTGTGGGTCACCATGCAGCCTGATTTGGCACTGTTCTTTTTTGTTTTTTTCATGACTGTCCTGGAACTCCCTCTGGCCTCAAGCTCACAGAGATCTGCCTGCCTCTGCCTCCTGAGTGCTGGGGTTAAGGCGTGCACCAGCACTGCCTGGCTCTGGCAGTGTTCTTATGGACTGATAGTCTTCATGGCAGCTCTATGAAACTGGTGCTGCTTTTAGCCTCAGTTTACAGAGTCCAGGAGAATTTGCTTTTGCAACTCTCCGTGGTAGTATGGGCTACCCCACTCTTAGAGCAAGGCCTGCTCATCTTTGGGCCTGCTTTCCCACCTGCATGTTCTCAGTTGGATTCTCGCCCTCCTTTCCAGTGCCAAAGTCCACCCTTCTAATGACCCAGCTATGGCTCAGGCCCGCCTGCCTGTGTGGTGCTGTCTGCGTATATCCTCTCGATATCTTCTTAAAATTCTCAGCCCAAAGGCTGCTTCCCTCCATTTATTTTGTGTGTGTGAGGGAGGGGTTGGCACAGGTGTACACATGCCATGGCTGTAGAGGTGAGGGACAGTTGTGGGAGTCAGGTCTCTTTATCATGTGGGCTCTGAGCACAGAAGTCAGCTTGTCGGGAGCAGAGGGCCTTTACCCCCCGAGCCGTCTTGGGGGCCCTAGAAAGCATCTTACCCACATCTCTGAGCCTGTGTCTTCCCGACTTCTTTCAGCAGGTAGACAAGCCTGCACCTTCCAGAATGACCAGTGCTGCCCCTGCTAGGAAACCTTACCGGAAGGCACCTCCGGAGCATCGAGAGCTGCGCCTGGAAATCCCTGTGTCCCAGCTCGAGCAAGAGGTCAGCAAGACTGGTATCTGGTCCTGGCTGGCAGAAGCAGGACCCCGAAGCTAACTGTCAGCTGGTTCTCAGGCCCGAGATGCTCGCCGTTAAGGGAGAGAATGGCACTGCGGATACAAGTGTGGCAGTGTGGGTGGGGCTGTCTGTGTGCTCATGCCCCAGGGAGCCTTAGTCTTTGAGCTCAGCAGAATGGGTCCCATATACTGCAGTTCTCTCTGTTATAGCCAGCCCATTGGACTGTCCAAGCCCTGGCTGTGGGAAGCTGGACTCCAGGCCTCTGGTGGAGGCCTCTTTCCACCTTGGCCTCTGTAGGGAACCTAGGGAGGTGGCACTCCAGCCGCTTCCCACCACAGTGGCTGTCCTCCATTGTCACTGGCAAGTCCGGCCCTTCCTCCAGCTGCCCTGATAACTTGGTACTTTCTACTAGGAGCCATGTTAGCCTTGCTCTCGGGAGGCCTGTGGTCAACTGCCAGGCACTTGAGTTTGGCTCTCGTCCTCATGCTAGTGAGTCCGGGTGGTTTACTCACCTGTTATCTTTCCTCCCACCCGCACGGTGCGCAAAGTCCAGTCTCAGACGCTGAGCATCGGGTGGGTGTGTCATGGCCTCCTGTGGACAGTTGAGGGAGATATGCCATGATTTGTTCACTGTGCTTCAAGGAACATTAGCTATAACTTATATACTTGGGGCCCTGGTTTATAGATAAAGGAACTAAGATTAAGAGAGGTGGAGCCTTCACCAGTGTGCTGAGTAGGTCATAGCCAGTTGTCAGTCTGGAGTCCGTGGTCTGAGCTGTTTGCTTCGTTGACTTACTCATGGCCTGCAGTTCTGAAGCGTCCCTTCTGCATAGCTTGCACCTGCTCTGGTTGGCTGGGTTCTGGCGCTTGGGTCATGACCATTGTAGGATCTTAGGAAAGTTGGGGCAGGGATTTCAAAGCAAAGCACGAAATGGTTTGGTGGTACATATGTATACTGGAAGATGGAGGCTCATGGTCCCTTCAGTTACGTAGTGAGTTTGAGTTCAGCCTAGATTGTATGACAACCTAAAAACAAACACTCAGCAGCCAAAAGCCCCATAGCATTTTGTTCCCCAGAGAATCTTCAGCCTTTCAGTTTTTCCACCTCATCCTCCAAGGTCCTGCTTTGGCCATCTTCCTCAGTAGGGGTTGGGAGCGCTCTCTCAAAACTCTCCACTTTGATAGTTTGCCCTGACTGCTCACTTGTCTGGCAAGTATACATGCTCATGAGGAAGTTGGTGGACACCTGAGAGGTGCTGTCTTCTTGGGGAGCGATGGTATGGGCACCTGGTCCCCTTTGAAGGTGGCTTTGATTAAGGGTAGATGTTGGAAGAGGTTCTAGAATTTTCTGGTTGGCATGGGAAAGGGTACGGTAAGCTTATCCAGGCATCACTGGCTTCATCATCTCTAGAGGGCCCTGCTCTTCTGTGACTTAGCCCTTTCCAGGGCTGTTTAAAGTGTCACCCAGGCGGTTAGTGGCTGCAGGTGAGGCTCAGGCTTTTTCTCTTTTTCACCAGGACTCCCTGACTGACGCAGAGAGGATGAAGTGAGTACCGGTTCCCTGTCACCTCCCGTGCACCGTGCCCCTTTCGCTCCCTGCTCTAGGCTTCTGGTACTACCAGATTTCTCCTTACAGCTGGCCTTCTGACATGCCAACTTCTGATGTTGTAGCACAATGTTGTGACCGGTAGTTGTTCATGTTCAAAACCATAGACTTAAGCCCGGTGGTGGTGGTGCATGCCTTTAAGCCCAGCACTTGGGAGGGAGGCGGATGTCTAGGTTCAAGGCCAGCCTGGTCTACAGATCGAATTCCAGAATAGGCTCCAAAACAATACAGAGAAACCCTAACAACAACAACAACAAAAAAGCAAACAAAAAAGAACCATAGACTTAAATTACAAAACAAAAAAAAATTGCAGAAAAAATGTTAGTTTTTACGTAAGTTTATGATTATTGTGTTGGGCTGTATTGCCTTTCTCAGCCACATGCAGCCCGTGGACTACGCATGCTCGGCAGAGGTAAAGGTTGGATGGTGTTGTAGGGCTCAGTGTTGTACGTGTTTTGCCGGGAAAGGGTTTTCCTTGATCTGTGGGCTGAGGACCTTCTCTTGCAAAGAGCTCTTGCCCAGCTCCTGGCTCTAGAGTGACCCACCTGTGCCAGCTGCCTCTCAAAGCCTTTCTGTCAGCATTTAAGGCCTCCTGGAAAACAGCAATGCTGGCCTGGATTCCCAAGAATTTAATAATGGAGAAGTCTGATTGTTAAGTGGGGAGACAGGAGCGTAAGGCTTGGTGGCCTGCTGGCTCGGGTGGTAACCAGAGGCAGGTCGGGATCTCTGACCTTTTGTTCTGACCTGGTGTTCTGCATTGGGTGGGGCATAGTGGGGTGTTTTACACCATAAGTCTGCTTCCACCCCTTCCCACCTCCAGCTAGACCCGCTTGTCCGTCTTCTCCGTTCCCAGTCCTGTCTGGAGCTGCAGGGTTAGCTGTCTCTGACAGCTCCCTGTCCCCTCCCCCAGACTTTTGCAGCAGGAGAATGAAGAGCTTCGCCGACGCCTGGCCTCGGCCACCAGACGCACTGAGGCCTTGGAGCGGGAGCTGGAAATCGGGCAAGACTGCCTGGAACTGGAGTTAGGCCAGAGCCGTGAGGAGCTGGACAAGTTTAAAGACAAATTCCGCAGGTGTGGGACAGGGATACGTACCTCCCCATTCATGGGGGCTTATCGGGAGGAGCCTCAAATCCCACCTGACTTCCCAGATTCCCATGTAGAGGGCCGGTAGGGCCTAAAGAGCAGGATCTTGACCAGGGCTATCTGCCTGGAATTCTTCTGTAGGCTGCAGAACAGCTATACAGCTTCCCAGCGGACCAACCAGGAGCTGGAGGACAAGCTGCACACACTGGTACTGTGCTGGGAAGGCCTGTTTGGTTGGCACTGCTGCAGCGTAGTGGTGGACCAGGGCTTGCCAGAGGGATGCCGTTCTCCCTGGGACTTGGGAGGGCATGGTGGGGCGGTGCTGGGGAGGGGACTGCAGTGTGCTCTGCCAGTCGGGACTGTCTTGATGCTCACACTGTTTTTCTTCTCTCCCCGTCTCCCTCATGCTGCCACCGCTGCTGCTGCATTCTTCTCTCAGGCCTCTCTTAGCCACAGCTGGATTTTTGCAGTTGCGTCTGAGTTTGTTTTTCCCCTGGTCCTGGCCTCCTTGGTCCATATGAGGGATCGTGGGGCCCTGGCTGTTTCCCTCTGCCTCTTGAGCACATCTGCTCTTCCCTGTCACTGTAAGGCCAGTCAGGGCTTCCACCCTGGGAAAGAGCTAGGGCTGGGGTTCTGCTCGTGGCTCTGGTAGAGGCACTGGTTGATAGTAGCCCTTAGAGCTCTCCCAGCTTCCCAGCTGCAGTGGAGCAAGCCCAGGCTATAGGCCCACATTAAGAGCTGAAGACCAGAAGTCTAATTTTGAGCCTGCAGCTCCCTCTGTGTCCATCCAGCTAATCTCATAGATGCCCACTCCCAGCTGATCCTGGAAACTGCTGCTCACACAGACTTTAGTCCCTGGCTGTTAGTGCCTTGCCTGGTGCCTAGAGACCCTAGCTCCCTAAAGGTTGGGTAGTCTCTTAGTCTGCCTCTGTCCTGGGTTCCCATGGCACTAGGTCCTTCTCAGAGAGTCCCCTCTCATGAAGAGCCTGCAGAGCAGGAGAAACGCCGATCTCCTTCTGTCTGTTGCCATTTGTCTGCTCTGTCTGCCTTGGCTGCCCTAGCACCTGTGTCTCTGGGCTGGAGGTGGAGGAGGAGGAGGCTGGGGTCTGGCTGGGTCTGGGCTGGCTTTACCCACGTCTGTGCTTCAGATCAAGAAGGCTGAGATGGACAGAAAGACACTGGACTGGGAGATTGTGGAGCTGACGAACAAGCTGCTGGACGCCAGGAACACCATCAATAAGCTGGAGGAGCTCAACGTATGTGCCCGTCCTTAGCTCGGCTGCCTTAGACCTTGGGGGCTGGGCTCTAAGTGGGTCTCTGTTTCCAGGAGCGGTACCGGCTGGACTGCAACTTGGCTGTGCAGCTGCTCAAGTGCAACAAATCCCACTTCCGGAAGCACAAGTTTGCTGATGTGAGTGACACACCTGCCCAGCTTCTGTGTCTCTGCCTTCCCTTTCTTCCTTTCCTTCCTTTGCCCCTGGGTTGTACTTGAGCTGTTTAACCACTGAGGGGCGGGTTGCTGCTGAGGGCCTGTTACTAGTGTTGGAGCTGGCTCTGTTAGTATTTCTGTGAAGTGCTCTTCAGTCTGAGGAGCCTATGGAGGAAGAAGGGGTGGCCAGAGTTGATAGCCATGATACAAGAAAGGCCATCTGACCGCATCCCTCTCGGGCTCAGAGCCTCTGCCTCCAACCCAAGGCTGAGCTAACCTGCAGAACTAGAGGTATTTGCAGGTCTGTAGTGAGTGCAGCTCTCCAAGTGTGGTTTTGGCAGAGGCCACCTGAGGCAGAGGAGATAGGTGTTTGAATGCACTCGGGTCTTAGCAGTAGAGCTGACTAACTTCGTGTTCACTACCGGCTTGTGTAGAAGCTTTACGCTGAGAGCATGGGGATAGCTAGGACACAGTGGTGGCTGTGGTCTTCCCGGGACTCATTCTTCTCTCTCCCTTCTCTCATTCTAGCTACCCTGTGAGCTACAGGACATGGTTAGGAAACATCTGCGTGACGGTCAAGAGGATGCCAGCCCCAGCCCTCCTTCCAGCCTGGCCGCAGGGGCTGTGGTGCCCACCTCGGTCATCGCCCGGGTGTTGGAGAAACCGGAGTCTCTCCTGCTCAATTCAGCCCAGTCAGCCAGTGCTGGACGCCCCTTGGCTGAGGATGTATTCGTGCATGTGGACATGAGTGGGGACGCTCCAGGTGACTCAGCCAGCCCCCCAGCCCCTGGCAGTCCCTCTCCACAACGCAATGGGGACTGCTGCTCTGGGAGTACTGTAGGAGGCTCCCCAGAGGAGGAGCAGCCCCTGGCAGCCTCTGAGAAGTTGAGTCCCTACCCTACCCCATCTCCACCACACCCATTGTATCCTGGCCGGAAGGTAATAGAGTTTTCTGAGGATAAGATTCGAATTCCTCGCAACAGCCCCCTACCCAACTGTACTTACGCCACTCGACAGGCCATCTCCCTGAGCCTAGTGGAGGAGGGCAGTGAGCGGGTCCACCACAGCCCAGTGCCTAGCAACCCTGCCTCAGCCCAAGGCTCACCCCATCACCAGCCTAGTCCAGCCCCCTCAGCACTCAGTGCCCCAGCCAGCTCTGCCAGTTCTGAGGAGGACCTGCTGGCCAGCTGGCAGCGTGCGTTTGTGGACCGCACCCCGCCCCCGGCTGCTGTAGCCCAGCGCACAGCCTTTGGACGAGATGCACTCCCTGAGCTACAGCTGCACTTCTCCCCCAGCCGCTCTGGGGCCCCACCACCTTCCCCACACCCTGAGAGTGGACTTCTGCTGCCAACAGAGCCCGACTCTGGCTTTCCCAGGGAAGAGGAAGAGGAAGTGCTGAACCTGCCTGTCAGCCCTGAGGAAGAGCGCCAGAGCCTGCTGCCTGCTAATGAGGGCACAGAGGAAGGACCAAGCGCTTCCCATATTGATAGCAGGGTCTGGCCACTCCCCAGTTCCAGCCGCCCCCAGCGCAGCCCCAAGAGAATGGGAGTACACCACCTGCACCGCAAGGACAGCCTAACGCAGGCGCAGGAACAGGGCACCCTGCTCAGCTAAGCCCACCTGCCTTCCTGCTACCACCTCGCAGGGCTGCATACGGCTCCTGAGCTCTTTGCTCAGCCCTGGGTAGCTGTTAGCTGTGTGAATGGGGTCCACACCAAATCTTGCAGCTGCATTGGCACTGACTGGTCAGCTTGGCTCCTGGTTTCTTCCTCTTGGAATACTTAGTCTCCAAAGTTAATAAGTCATTTGAGTCCCAGGCTCTGCCCTCCATTCAGTCAGCCCAGGTGCGATCATGGGGAAAGGCCCCGCTTGCCAGTGTTCCTTGTACATTCTTTCATATCTAAGAACTTTGGTTGGTAGGGGGAGGGTATCATTGATGCTGCTGGCCTGATTACTCTCTTCCTCTGCACGAGCTACTCTTAGGCCTGGCCCAGATGCCTAGGGACAAGGGTGGCTTTACTCAGGGCTCCCCTCAGCTGTTCCCACCCTCCTCTCCAGGGGAGGATGGGACTTCAGGGGCCTCAAGCTAGGCTCCAGGTGAGGCCTGACCCCCTCTTATCCTTGGCTCTAGACTGTTACTCCCAGATTTGGGGAATTTTTCACATTAATGACTTTTAAAATCAAATAAAACATATTTTACAGGTATGCCCTAATTTGCCTTAATGACTTTCTCCTTCCCACTGTAATTCCCATTCTTGTTTTTATTTTTGAGATGGCATCTTATGTAGACCAGGCTGGCCCAGAACACACTTGCCTCTGCCTTCAGAGTGCTGGGATTAAAGGTGTGCACCACTATGCCTAACATTTTTAAGTGTGTGTGTACACACATGCCGGTGCCCACAGAGGCCAGGGGTTTGGTACCCTGGAGCTGGAGTTATGTGTTATCTGCTGAACACCTCTCCAGCACATAAGTATCTCTAGTCCAACTTTTCCTAGTCTTTGCCAGACCCCCCTTTAGCCCACTCTGCCTTGGCCCAAGGCATGGGGATAGGGTGTTCAGGTAACAGCAGGGGCTAATAAGCTTTCCAGCAGAAAAAGGATAAAGTTCAGCCAAGTTCCTCACCCTAGTTATCATCAGATGTCTGAACTCCCAGGATCCCTAGGTCGTGGCCCTAGGCTGACCTTTCAGAGTCTGAGCTGTAGGGTGCTATCACTCCTAATGCCGATGAGTGATACTGCCGGTCCCTCCCATTGGTCATCCCCCAGTGACTACAGCTCCAAGTCAGGTTGTGGAGTTTATAAAATCTGTTCCGAGCCAGCGGGTTGCAGCCAGAGCTGCCAACAAGTTCAAAGTCAGTACCCTGGGTTCAAGTACCCCCCCAACCCCCAAGGCTACTGCCCGGTGACAGCTTCCAGAGTCTCCCACCAGTATCAGGAGCTGCCAGAGCCCCAGCCGGGACCTTTCTCTGCCACATGGAGGACGGTACTGGGGACACAGGCAAATGTAAGGACGCACAGAAGCCCAAGTGGAGAGTCACATCTCGGTCTCAGCCAACAGACTGTCCCCTAGTCCTGATGTCATCAGCACCATCTGAGAGCTGGGATCTGGGAAGGGCGGAAGGATGCTCAGCCACCATTCATTGTTAGTGAGCTCACAAACACAAGAGTCATGGCCTGGTTTCCCAGCACCGCCCCCTCGTTCCGAATCTTTCAGGTCAAGCTCTCATCCATTCTCCAGGTTCTTACCGCTGGGGCACATCCAGGAACTGCCACCCCGCTGGTGGGCAGCAGGCTCCCGCCCTCTTCCCCATTCCTGGGTGTCCACAGTGCTCCCTGCCACCTCCTCCTCTTCCTCCCCCTCAGAGAGGAGGTCACAGATCTGCTGCTGCAACTCTGGGCTAATGCTGTTCTCAGCCAACACCAGGCTCCGCAAAGCTGTTGGGTAATTTTCTACCATGTCCAGCAGGGTCTGGGGAAGGGAGAGAAGAGCACAGGAAGATAAACACAGGAGAGGTGGTTCAGTGGCCAAGAGCAATGGCTGCTCTCCCCAAGGACCAGGGTTCAGTTCCCAGCACCCACAGGGGTGTTCATCGCCATCTATAACTCCAGTTGCAGGGATCTGACGCCACCTTCTGGCCTCTATGGGCACCATGGACATACAGGAAAAAGTTCATTCACATAAAACAATAAATATTAAATTATAAAAGTAAAACAATATAATTTAGCATTCTTTGGATCCAACCAGACTAGCCCTTGGGTCTGTCCCCAGACACAGTGATTATTTCACTCTTTTCCCTAGCTTGTCTCTAAAGCATGATGACTTCTCACCTGGGCTGACTGGTTTGTGAGCCCTGTGCCCTCCAAGTCTAGGACTTCTAGGGTACGGCTTGAGGCCACAGCTACAGCCAGCATCCCTGCCACATGGTCACCTGAAAAGACAGCACAGATTCACAGCCACATGGGATAACAGGTCTGTTAATCGTTAGTCCTGGCCGGGAGTCAAAGGTGAGTGACTAGGAAGGGAGCGTTTGGAGTGAGATGAAGTAAGTCAGACCCAGGGGCGCTGACTGAGGCGCTGACTGAGGCTTGGCCTACCTGCTGGTCATCTGGTGTTCCATGGAGGCTGGCCCTTCCCGACACCCCTGGGAGTTTTTCTCATTTATCTTCTTCCCCGAGTGAGGGTTATTATGGTAGCTGGTGGGCTGAGGTTTTTGGATGGGACAGGAGCAGTGAAAATAGAGGGGATGATTTTAAGCTCACCCAGGGGGTTGTAGTCCAGGTTGAGGACGCGGACTTGGGAGCTGTGTGCCACAGCAATGGCGAGGCGGCTCCAGCCCTTAGGGGTGATGCCAGGGTTGGCGCTCAGGGTTAGCTCCTTCAAACCTAGGCAGCAGCATTAGTGAGAATCCAGGATGGGTAGGGCCAGGTCCTTCTCCAGTCCCTGTTCTACCCTGTGTCTATGGGGTAGCCTAATGGCGGGAGCCACCTGGTCCCCAACCACAGTAGTCTGGAGCAATTAGGGTCCTACTCGTTCCTCCCCTGCCTGGGTCACAGTGTTTCCGCTCGACTCTGTCCCTAAGCTTCTCCCTTCCTGAGAAGGGTAAAAAAGAGGATTTCTTACCGCACCCTCCCAGCTCTCAGCACTGGGCCACGCCCCCTTCCCTGCATGCAGCGTTCATCAGTCACAACCAGCTCATGCACCCTGTAAGGTCCTGCTCACCGGACTTGGCCCCATCTGGAGGGAGGAGGCCACAGATGAGGTTGATGGCTTCATCACCCAACATGCAGTCCCCCAGGTCAAGAGCCACAAGAGCAGGGTGGAGAGCCAGGGCCGGGTTCAGCAGAGCCAGCCCGGCATCCGTCAGTGGGCTCCCGTGCAGGCTAAAGGTTGATGTAAGATTAATTATGAATCACCGGTCTTGTCTGTTTCGGAAAAGTGCCCCCCCGAGACAAAAACGGGGAGGAAAAATGGAAATTCTACGTTTGAAGGAGTACGATGGAAAGGGAATTTGGTTTCTTTTCTGGGGTAGGAACTGACGATGAGAACATTGCACAGGGAGGGGTGTGTGGATAGTGGACTGGGTTAGCCAGCACACTCGCTCACGGGCCTCAGATCCTTTGGAAAGGCTGGGCTGTAGTCTCCACGGGAGGTGACCCTTCATCAGAAATGAGGGGCTTCACAACGAAGTAACGGGGTGGGGAGGAACGACATTCCCTACCAGGAAGGGCTAGGCATCCCAGCTCTCCTGCGGGTCTGAATGTGGAGCAAATTCTAGAAACGATCCGTGTTTCTGGGAGGGTGTGGTGGACCCAGAAGAAAAATGAGGTGTACATTAGAGGTTGCGAAGGCGGGACGGTGGGACACAGGGGCTGGAAGGTGATGTGGAGGAGATACAGGAGGTGGTGGGGGGTGCCGTGGCCGGGCCCTTTGCGAGGGGACACACTCACAAGAGGGACTGGATGGAGCGGTTGGTCCGCAGCGCTTCCGCCAGCTGCTTGATGCGGCTGGGGCTGGACACGACGCCCAGGTTAAGGTTGAGCTGCGCCAGCGACGTGGCTCCAGCTAGGGCCCGGCAGATACGGCCGAAGTCGCGGTCGCACAGGCGACAGCCACGCAGCGACAGCAGGCGCACCGCGTTGTCGCGCAGGCCGCGGCAGATGTCCCGCACCTCAGCGCCTGACAGCGGCTCCCCCGAAATCTGGATGGAGCTGGGCAGCATGGTCCCCACGGCTGGGCCTCGGGGGCTGGCGCCGGTGCCCCGGCCTGGGCAGAAGTTGGCCCTGCTGCGGCGGGGGCGGGGCGGGGACTGAGGTCGCGGTCTCGGTCTGGGTTGCAGCCGGAGCGGAGGCGGAGGCGGCAGAGGCGGCGGCAGAGGCTGCGGCAGCGACGAAGCGCGCCCGGTCCCCGGCGGGAGCGAAGGCAGGCGCGGGCCGGGGCAGCGTGGGCGCCGAGGAGGAGCGGCGCGGGCGCGGGAGCGGCGCGGGGACGGAGCTGCCCGCCCGCCCTCTCCCTCGCCGCTCTGGAGGCCGCGCCCGCTCTGCGGGCCCCCGGGCCCGGTAGCACGGCTCGCGGGCGCAGCCGGGGCGGGATGCAGCTCGGCTTCAGCTGCTGCGCCGGAGCAGGCGGCGAGTTCCTATGGCAACGGTTGCGTCACTGACTCTCGTCCCGCCCCCCCCCCGCATGGACCACGCGGCCAGCGCGCGATGCGTGTCTTAGGACGAAGAACTAGGACCCGAGGGCCTGACTGCGTGAAAAGAAGGTAGAGGGACGCAGCCTCACGTGGGGAGGGTGGAGGCAAGTCACGCCGAGATAGCCTTTGACGCCGTTTCGGCTTCTTTTGCTTATTCTCCGGTGCTTCTTCACCCTTAAGGTCTAAATCCCGAGATTCCGCGCCTTTGCCAAGACCCTGGACAATCAGTCAGCCCAGCTTAAAGGTCCCTATCCCTTCAGTCCGTGCCCCCGCCCCCGTGTCCCAGTGACGCGAGGCGTAGCATGCGTGGGGATTCCTGTCCTCGGGGACTTCCCGGTCAATATGGCTGCGCCGGCCGAATCCCTAGGGTAGGGCAGGTGAACCTGCCTGCCTTGAAGACGTTTTAACCTCCAGAAGAACGGGATTGCCAAAATCAAAGGGTGTCGGGTCAACCCAAAGTCCTGGGAATCGGGGTGGGGGGGGGCGTGTAAAGTGGCTGCAGCACGGGGAAGCCAATTATTTTTTTCGAGACAGGGTTTCTCTGTATTGTTTTGGAGGCTGTCCTGGAGCTCACTCTGTAGACCAGGCTGGCCTCGAACTCACAGAGATTCTCCTGCCTCTGCCTCCCGAGTGCAGGGATTAAAGGCGTGCGCCACCAACGCCCGTATCCCTGTGATTGCAGAAGGGACTTGATTTGTGCACCAGGGCAGTATAATAGGAAGTCTTTTTTTTTTTTCTTTCTTTCTTTTAAAAAAGTGAGCTAGGCATAGTGGCACACGCCTTTAATCTCAGCACTTGGGAGGCAGAGGCAGATGGATCTCTGCAAGTTCGAGGCCTGTCTGGTCTACAGAGTGAGTTTCAGAATAGAGAGAGCTGCATAATGACTTTGTCTGGAACACCACCTGTACCCCCTAAAAAAAAAAAAACGAAAAAAAAAAAAGAACAGTTAAGTCAAAAGCTCTACTCCCTCTGTTAACTAAATATTTTTTTTTAATTTTTGTGTTTGTGTGACGG